GTACTTATACGGAAAAGAAATAAACATTCTCGTATAATTTTGTTGATCAAGTTTACGCTCCTCTATATGTCGTTGCTATACTCTCTGAAAACACAAACGTGAGCTAACCGGCGGGTGTGTGCCGGATACCTCTCTGATGCCTAAGTCAACAAAATAGACAAATAGATAAAAAGTTCTGTGTATTCGGGAATCAAAATTGTGTTACCTCTCCATAAGTGATGCTATGAGCTTTTATAGGTTCCGCGTGGCACAATCCTAGTAGGACTCTTACTCCTCCATGTTTCTTGGAATCACTCTCCTGAAAGATAATATCTATCTTTCAACACCCCCTCACTGCTTAAATCAAGTGAGATGGTTTTACCTTGGTTGGATGTCAATACGACCGAGATAACATGGCCATGCTAAAGCTGCAAACTGGACCGAGCTCTACCTAGCTCGGTTCTTCCTTTCACTGTCAGTTACCTCGGTTTAACATGTTCCAACGAGGCTGTTGAGACCATGCTAACCACACCGAGTTAAGACCGAACTAACCCATAGCATGGTCCTGAGAAAAAGCTCAACATACTGACTCAAGATGGTCTGACCGAGCTAACTGTTACCACGCCAACAGCGATGACCGAGCTAACCACCAAGCTATTTCGGACCGAGCTAATTGTAGGGCTCCTCTGCACCAGACCAATTATAAGGTCGTTTTTACCATGGCCCACAGAATGGCCCATTACCCAGCTCGGCCCAATTTATATATAAATTACCCTTTCAGTACTAAAAATTTTAAAATTCAAATTGATGTAAAAATTGTGAACTGCTGATTTTAGATTTATTAATAAGTTGCTCTCATTTAAATACAATTTTGCTTTTTTTTTTTAGCCTTCTTGTATAATTGACCCTAGCTAATCGTTTTTTTGACTAATTTTGGCCCTTTAAAATTTTGAAAAATTTATTAGAAAATCTTCTTCTAAATACTTCTATTCAAATTAATCCATAACATATTATTGTACTTCAATAAGTTCCATTATTTGGACATTTGATCTATAAATTCTAATTCTCATATTTAAGATATTTTATAAATAACTTTATCTTTACAAATATTTTTTGCATCCTTAACAACTTGGTATGCACTATTTTGTACTTTTTATATAATAAACTTTAAAAATTCATAATTTTTGTTGTACATATTTTTATTTTTATTTATTTTTATGAAATTTATATTTTTGAAACCTAGTTAACGAGATCTATCAAATAAGATCTCATTTGAATATATAATTTTATAAAATACGAATAAATGACCCATGTGAGATATTTGGTCATTTGTTTGGTAGAAAATTTAGGACTTATAGTATTTTCCTTTACAATGTGAACATTCACATCATGAAACGTTCGTACTATAAATATAAATATTATTAAGTATATTTTGATAATTATGTCACTTATAAAACTTATTAAAATATAAAAAAATAATTTGAATTAAGTGAAATATAAATGGTGAAGAGCTGTTTATAAATAAATACATATTGAATTTTTTGTTGTAACGCAGTTACAAGTCCTCTTTTGTATACGGATGGTTAATTTGTCTACTTATAATGTTAGCATCTCCATCAAGATAGTTATTTTTATTTTTTAGTTAAAATAATGAGTAAATTATTAAATTCCAACCCCATCAAACTAGCTATTAATTTAGCTATTTTAGTTTTGATGAATTTGGCTCAACAAATGTAGCTAGTGGTTTAGATTAGTTAAACATTAAAAAATATTACTTTTAATAATTTTGGAATTAGTTGTGTAGAGTTTATAAATAATAATAATAATAATAATAATAATAATAATTTCTAAAAAAATGTTTAAATAGGATGACAAAAGGATAAGGAGTTTGTTGGAGAGTGTATTTAAAATGTGTATAGTCAAAATAGAAAAAGTAAATTTTAAACTAAAATATAACAAAAACTTAACTATAGTTTGATGAGGATAAGCATTAGGGGAAAAAATCTCAAAAAAACATTAAAAAAATATCAAAAAATTACTATAAAAAAAAATCAAACATTTCAATAAATCACGATTATTGATACAATTGAAAATTTATTTTCAAACATATATCAACTTTTTTTCTACCTTATAAAAAGTCAAAAATTACATACCCAATAAAAATACAATTTCTAAACTAGGCCTTGTATTCAACAAGTCACTGGTTCAAAGTCTTTTTTTGTCTTAGAAGAATTTAAAGAGTAAAGAATGGAGAAAGTGGGCGTTGGTGTGTACACATTGATCACCAGGTGTTCGCTTGTGGTAAGTTTTTAATTATGAAACAATATATATATATATATATATATTTAAGATGTTGTGGATATAAAGTCTCGGTGTTCTATATCGGGAATGTAGGGGGAGTTCTTGAGATATAAAAGTAAAAATCTAAACTCTTATATAGTATCAAGGCCTTTTCCTGGGTGATAAAATCCCTAACAGAACTCCTTAGTTAAGCATGCTTAGGCTGAAGTAGTTTTAGGATGGGTGACCCACTGAGAAGAACAAATCGACGTAGCCCAAAGCGGACAATATCGATGACATATGAAGGGTTGGGGCGGTACAAATGGTGTCAGAGCTGACTCTCCAGAGTACCGAGTATGGGCCCCTGGCGTCTCTCGGTACATGTGGGCAGGCTTGTGAGCTAGCAAGCTACTGCACAGGGATGTGCGACCTTAAGGAGGGTGGATTGTAAGTTCTCGGTGTCCCACATCGAGAATGGAGAGGGAGTTTCTGAGTTATAAAAGTAAAAATCTAGATCTTTATATAGAATCGAGGCCTTTTCCCGGGTGGTAAGATCCCTAGTAGAACTCCCTAGTTAAGCATGTTTTAGGATGGGTGACCTATTGAGAAGAACAAATCCGTAGGGGCGTGGCCCAAAGCGGACAATATCGATGATGTGTAAAGGGTTGGAGCATTACAAATGGTATCAGAGTTGACTCTCCGGAGTACCGAGTGTGGGCCCCTAGTGTCTCTCAATGTATGTGGGCGAGCTTGTGAGCTAGAAAACTATTGCACGGGGACGTACAGCCTTAAGGGGGATGGATTGTAAAGTTGCAGTGTCCAACATCAGGAATGGAGGGGGAGTTCTAAGCCATAAAAGTAAAAACTTGAACCTTTATATAACATCGAGGCCTTTTCCTGGGTGGTGAAATCCCTAGCAAAACTCCTCAGTTAAGCGTGCTTAGGCTGGAGTAGTTTTGGGATGGGTAACCCACTGGGAAAAACAAATCCATGCTGGCATGGCTCAAAGCGGACAATATCGATGACATGTGAAGGGTTAGGGCGTTACACCACGCGAACCATTATGCACGTGACATGTGTAAACTACTACCCCATAAGGAATCAAAAGTACTCACACTACTCACACTTGGGCCGGGGTGTGACTTTCTTTACACCATAACCATACACGTGTCCAACATCCACGAATGGACGCTCTAAGCAGTTTTTCCTGTTCTCGAAGGTCCTTCGAGGTAGAGGGAGATTAGATAGATGGGTCGCTGTTCTAGTTCCTGTTAACCAGAACAAAACACTCCAACTCTTTTATCCTAACACTTCTACAAGATCTATCACCTCTGTTAACCCTTCTGTTCAGGTACCTTAGCTTTGATATTTTTTCTCTCTGTTTCTCATACCCACGAACAAACTTCACCAAAGCTGACAGCGAGCTCTCTTCCCAAAGTCCTATTTGCGACGTCAAAAAATGATCTACGCACATTTGAGTGAACTACCTGTAATTCTCCGGATACTCTTCTAAGGAGTACAACATTATACACCAAAACAATCAACAACAAAGAAAGATAGAAAAAGGAAAGACGAAACAAGGTATCAAAAAACAAAGCCACCACAATATCTATGCCACTGCAAAAACATATTTCTCTACAATATCAAATGTTTTCTGGTATAAAATAAATAGCAAAAATCTTTGTGTACAAGTACGCAAATTCCCCATTCAAAATAAAGATGAAACACAATCATTTTCTCGCCTTTGCTTTTTGTCAGTCGCTTTGTTTTTATCTTTACTTTATAACCACGCAAACCATAATACACATGACATGTGTAAACCACTACCCTATAAGGAATTAAAAGTACTCACACCACTTACATCTAGGTCTAGGTGTCACTTCCTTTACACCATAACCATAGACGTGTCCAGTATCAATGAATGGACGGTCCAGATTCGCCTCCCGGAGGGGGGCCGTTGGTAATATTAATACAACACCCCCCCAAGTCACACCAACTTACACCGTTCATACCAGGTTTTTTATATAATAAGGAGGCCTTGTATGGCTGGTGCGAGTTTACTGTTCTCCATTAGAAAATACTTCGCCAAGCCTCTTTCCTTTTCTATGCAAAAAAATATTTTCCTCACATATCCATAATGCCCTTGCCCAAAAGAACAACTCCTAGATCTCTTGCAATCATTTCACCAACTAACCTGCCTACTAGGGCTGTGCAAAATACCGCCAATCTGCTAAAACTGTACTGATCTGTATTAATTCGCACCGCTTTAACCGCTAACCACAATTTAAACTTTAAAATTTATAATCCGTCTTTCAAACCCCTCCGCTCCGTTATAGTTAATATATAAATATTTTTTAACCTCCAATGAAATATTAAAATAAAAATGAGTGTAAGAGAGATTTAAGATATGAAATTTATTACAAATTAGTAGTTATATATATGAAACATATTATGTAAAATTATTTTGTGTTATATATATATATATATATAATATTATACAAATTAATGTTATATATTATGCAAATGTATGATAATTAGTTAGAATATTCTTCTATTTGCCAATCTGTCAAAAACTATCCAAACCGCAATTTGTCAATCCGCTAATCCACCAATCTGTCATTCGGTTTGTAAGTTTACTCTCAAACTGCGCCGAACCGCACTGCGCACACCCTTACTACCTACCATACTACATACTCATCGCAAGAGAGTTCCACGAAGATGGAAACCTACACCTCCATGCCATGGTGCAATGCACCAAAAAGATCCAAACCATTACATTTGACAACAGAGGTGCAGCAAGGTTGCTGAATGGGATTGAGTTAGAAAATAAAAGATGTGACCGCCAATCGGACAAAATTTTAGTTAAGGGTATAAAATTAATTGAGAATGTTCAATTGGGACAAGATGCAAAGGAAGAAGCTGTGATGTTTCACGTTCTTTTTTTCATCATAAGTGATAATAGTCCGTCAGATTCTGTTCTCACACCTGACAAGGTATTTATTGGTGTTGATGAGGGTAATTCTAAGACATGGATTGTTGATCCTGGTCAATTCAATAGGTTTCATATCCTAAAGAAAATGAGATTCAAGCTTGTTGGTGGGAAGGACAAAGAATACATTCGATACGGAATAGAGATTGTGGATTGGTTCTTCCCAGTGGATGTTTGGACGGACTAGAAAGATACGTTGTTAGAAAATGTAGGGAGTATTCAGAAAGGTGCGATATATTTAGTGACTGTTACTGTTAACGAAAACTAATGCAAAATTATGTTAAGGAGTCAAATATATTTTAAAATTGTTTAGGATCGTTTTTTGATAAGCAATTTTATTTGTAACGTTTAGGTGGATGGAGGTTGATGATATAAAAATTAGTATTGTTAATGGTGTTTTAGCAAGTGGTTTTAGTTTTATTAAACTTGCGTTACCTAATTTATTTTCTCAATTAGGTTGAGATATAAACAAAAGAGTATTAAGATTGATAAAATATTGACAAAATATTTTCCCTTTACACGCCTAATGCAAGTGGGTTGGTTAGAGTAAAAGCGTATGATCTAAGGTTAGATGGTAATGACAGTCTGCAAACATATTTTATTTTCCTAGTGGATTGTTAACACGAATTAGACTGTTATGGGAATGATTTATTTTCGGCGTGTCCCCGTGTCCCCGGCGTGTCCCCGTGTCAGACACTGCCACGGCATGAAATCTGGCGTGTCCATGCTTCATAGCTCAAAATACCTTTCTTATTTTCCTTTTTGTTTTCCATCTTAATAATCTCCAACGCAGGAGACACTGTGACCAAAACCCAATCCATTACAGGCCACAATACCATTGTTTCATCTGGTGGAAGCTTTGAGATGGGTTTTTTCAACCCTGGCAATTCCCAGAATACATACTTGGGAATATGGTACAAGAAAATTTCTGTTAGGACCGTTGTATGGGTTGCCAACAGAGAAATTCCACTTGTCAATTCGTCAGGCATCTTAACAGTAATCGACCCTGGAATTCTTGCCCTTGTCAATGGTACCGGCAGTGTCATTTGGTCTCCCAATGTGACAGGATCCACACAGGACCCTGTTGCACAACTTATGGAGTCAGGAAATCTTGTTGTGAAAGATGTAAATGATAATATTTTGTGGCAAAGCTTTGATTATCCGTGTGATACTCTTTTACCAGGCATGAAGCTTGGCAAGAACTTTGTAACTGGCCTTGAGCATCACCTCTCTTCCTGGAAGAGCAGCGATGATCCAGCTCAAGGTGAGTTTACATACCGGTGTGATCCTCAAGGATACCCACAACAAATTCTGAACAGTGGTTCTGCTGAGCTGTTCCGAGCTGGGCCATGGAATGGCATCGGATTCAGTGGGAGACCAAGCCTTAAATCTAATTCAATCTACACATTTGAATTGGTTTACACCAAGGAGGAGGTGTATTATGATTATAAACTCCTCAGCTCAGATGTTTCAAGGCTTACTGTGAATCATACTGGCGTTGTGCAGCGCTGGACGTGGATTGACCGAACCCAGCAATGGGTCATTTTCCTGACTTCACCAACAGATAACTGTGATACCTATAAACTGTGTGGTCCGAATGGTAACTGCAACGTTGGAAACAGTCCAGTATGTGATTGTTTGAGTAAATTTGTGCCCCAGAACCAAAAGGAATGGGGACATGGAGATTGGTCTAATGGGTGTGTTCGGAGGACACCGTTGGATTGCCATAATGGAGATGGATTTCTCAAGTATTCGGGCTATAAAATGCCGGACACACGGAACTCCTGGTTTGACAGGAACATGACACTTGGGGAATGCAAGATGGTATGCTTGAAAAACTGCTCTTGTATGGCTTACGCAAATTTAGACATAAGTAGTGGTGGAAGTGGCTGCTTGCTTTGGTTTAAAGAGTTGATTGACATGAGAGAGTTAAATGCAAATGGGCAAGACATTTACATAAGGATGGCTTCCTCTGAGTTAGGTAAGAATTCATAACAAACACATAGATTAGTGAACATAGATTGATTAGATTATACATATGCAAGAACCATGTAGTTAACTATACTGGACTTTAACATTTCTTAATTAAAAAATTCTTCACTATATTCCTTTTCTACATCTAACTACAGTATAGCAAAAAAAGAGTTCATTTTGGTTTCATCTTGAATGTCGATTTCTGTTGTCAGTATGCCTCGAATTCGATCTAGATAATTCTTATTACCTGTCTCAATCCACATGCCCAGCCTGGTAGGTCCAACTTATATTTGTTGTTGAGTCTGTTTTGACCCAGTTTATTATTTTTGGATTTTTTTATGCATTGGATTATTTCAGAGTTCTAGGGTTTATGATGATCAAAGCTTTTAAAGTTGAATCCATAATGCGATGCGTTTTACCCCTCGTGAGACAACCCATAAGCATTTCTAATTTTAGTTTTATATTTAGTAAATAAATAAAATATCTTGAAGTAGCAACAAAAATATTAAAAGTTAAACATAAAAGTGTAAATACTTTTCTTCTCAAGGCACCGAAATCGAAATTAACGTCCTTAACTTAAATTTTCGAGTTTCTCACTTGAGCCTCAACTTTTTTTTTTTTAACATGATTTTTCCTATGAATATAGTTGACAAAGAGGTTATTCTTTTCTTATGTTTAAACAACCTACTAGACTAAGTTTAACAAGAGCCTAACAAGCTCTTCATATGCTTACGTGCGAAAGGCATACATAGTGCACCTGAGGCGAACACCTTAGACTGCGATGCTCAAGTATTTGGGGAATATTGGCTAGAAAGCAAAGCCTCAATCTGCATAAGCCTGCAAATTCTTGTGTGCTTGTGTGTTTGTTTTGTTTTAGCTTTTCTCATTCCTTTTGCCATAATAATTTCAAAATATAGAAGGTTTTCGAGGGTTTGAAATTGAAATCAATCCCTTTAAGTTTGTGCTTTCATGATCATATTATCTAACTGCTCAATGGAACATTTCTTTTTATGGATTGAAGATTCAACAGTCCAACAAGTCAGCTTGAATGGCAAGAAAAGAAAGATAGTAGCAGTGACCTTGGCATTTTTAATTGGACTTTTTCTGCTGGGTATGAGCCTAATCGTGTATCTCCGAAAAAGGAAAAGGAATAATTCACATATAAGAAGAGAAGGTATATATCCCATGTATGTCATTCTTGGCAAACTTTGTAATGGTATGTTACATTTTTGGAACTAGTTGTCATATGTGATACTCTTTTACCAGGCATGAAGCTTGGCAAGAACTTTGTAACTGGCCTTGAGCATCACCTCTCTTCCTGGAAGAGCAGCGATGATCCAGCTCAAGGTGAGTTTACATACCGGTGTGATCCTCAAGGATACCCACAACAAATTCTGAACAGTGGTTCTGCTGAGCTGTTCCGAGCTGGGCCATGGAATGGCATCGGATTCAGTGGGAGACCAAGCCTTAAATCTAATTCAATCTACACATTTGAATTGGTTTACACCAAGGAGGAGGTGTATTATGATTATAAACTCCTCAGCTCAGATGTTTCAAGGCTTACTGTGAATCATACTGGCATTGCGCAGCGCTGGACGTGGATTGACCGAACCCAGCAATGGGTCATTTTCCTGACTTCACCAACAGATAACTGTGATACCTATAAACTGTGTGGTCCGAATGGTAACTGCAACGTTGGAAACAGTCCAGTATGTGATTGTTTGAGTAAATTTGTGCCCCAGAACCAAAAGGAATGGGGACATGGAGATTGGTCTAATGGGTGTGTTCGGAGGACACCGTTGGATTGCCATAATGGAGATGGATTTCTCAAGTATTCGGGCTATAAAATGCCGGACACACGGAACTCCTGGTTTGACAGGAACATGACACTTGGGGAATGCAAGATGGTATGCTTGAAAAACTGCTCTTGTATGGCTTACGCAAATTTAGACATAAGTAGTGGTGGAAGTGGCTGCTTGCTTTGGTTTAAAGAGTTGATTGACATGAGAGAGTTAAATGCAAATGGGCAAGACATTTACATAAGGATGGCTTCCTCTGAGTTAGGTAAGAATTCATAACAAGCACATAGATTAGTGAACATAGATTGATTAGATTATACATATGCAAGAACTAACTATACTGGACTTTAACATTTCTTAATTAAAAAATTCTTCACTATATTCCTTTTCTACATCTAACTACAGTATAGCAAAAAAAGAGTTCATTTTGGTTTCATCTTGAATGTCGATTTATGTTGTCAGTATGCCTCGAATTCGATCTAGATAATTCTTATTACCTGTCTCAATCCACATGCCCAGCCTGGTAGGTCCAACTTATATTTGTTGTTGAGTCTGTTTTGACCCAGTTTATTATTTTTGGATTTTTGTATGTATTGGATTGTTTCAGAGTTCTAGGGTTTATGATGATCAAAGCTTTTAAAGTTGAATCCATAATGCGATGTGTTTTACCCCTCGTGAGACAACCCATAAGCATTTCTAATTTTAGTTTTACATTTAGTAAATAAATAAAATATCTTGAAGTAGCAACAAAAATATTAAAAGTTAAACATAAAAGTGTAAATACTTTTCTTCTCAAGGCACCGAAATCGAAATTAACGTCCTTAACTTAAATTTTCGAGTTTCTCACTTGAGCCTCAACTTTTTTTTTTTTTTACATGATTTTTCCTATGAATATAGTTGACAAAGAGGTTATTCTTTTCTTATGTATAAACAACCTACTAGACTAAGTTTAACAAGAGCCTAACAAGCTCTTCATATGCTTACGTGCGAAAGGCATACATAGTGCACCTGAGGCGAACACCTTAGACTGTGATGCTCAAGTATTTGGGGAATATTGGCTAGAAAGTGAAGCCTCAATCTGCATAAGCCTGCAAATTCTTGTGTGCTTGTGTGTTTGTTTTGTTTTAGCTTTTCTCATTCCTTTTGCCATAATAATTTCAAAATATAGAAGGTTTTCGAGGGTTTGAAATTGAAATCAATCCCTTTAAGTTTGTGCTTTCATGATCATATTATCTAACTGATCAATGGAACATTTCTTTTTATGGATTGAAGATTCAACAGTCCAACAAGTCAGCTTGAATGGCAAGAAAAGAAAGATAGTAGCAGTGACCTTGGCATTTTTAATTGGACTTTTCTGCTGGGTATGAGCCTAATCGTGTATCTCCGAAAAAGGAAAAGGAATAATTCACAGCTAAGAAGAGAAGGTATATATCCCATGTATGTCATTCTTGGCAAACTTTGTAATGGTATGTTACATTTTTGGAACTAGTTGTCATATTGATATCCATTTATCCCGGGCTTTGCAGGAAATCTGATGCACAACTCTGAACAAGGTCACACTGACAAAATCCAAATGGAAGATCTAGAGTTACCATTGTTCGACTTAGCTGTAATAGTTAATTCCACAAATAACTTTTCAATCAACAATAAGCTCGGAGAGGGTGGTTTCGGACCAGTTTACAAGGTAGGTGCCTAATTCAATCATTCATTCAGTTTGTTTCTCAAAACTTCCCATTATGTTCACTCAGAATTGATTACTCTACATTTTAAAAAATTTAATAAGCACTCATTTGCATTTAATAAGAGTTTTATTATCTGAACTACCTCCAATGAAATATGATGTAGAATGACTTTCAACATAGACGTTGTGCTAAGCATGGGGCAGAAACAAACATTGGGCCCTTTAAAAGAGGTGTCAAACACCACTTGAAACATAACCAAAAATCTCTTCTGTCATAACCAAAACAACAACCACAATAACGAAACTCCACTTGAGGCATAACCAAAGACCTCTTCGGTTATAATCAAAATATTTACCACAATAGGTCATACTAAGTCATAACCAACACCACATTGAATCATAACCAAGTCATAACCAACAATACAATGGGTCATAACCAAAGATCATAAACTTTGTAACTGGGACATATGATACCCACCTTTTTGGAGGTGTGCATTATAGAATTTTTAGAACAAACATTATACTGAAGAAAAAACACGAAGGAAAAATACAGAAAAATAAATGTGGCTTCTTTCAATGGAAACATATTGCACCTGACAAACAAAATGGTTCTCAATTTTCAGGGTATGCTGGAAGGTGGACTAGAAATAGCTGTTAAGTTGCTTTCGAAGAATTCCCAACAAGGAGTCGATGAGTTCAAGAATGAAGTTATTTGCATTGCCAAGCTTCAGCATCGAAATCTTGTAAAGCTTCTAGGATACTGCGTTCAAGGAGAAGAAAGGTTGTTAATATATGAATACATGGCCAACAATAGCTTGGACTCCTTTATTTTCGGTATGGCTTTCTTAAAACCTTTATCTCGTTTCATTCTACTTCATAATGGAGCAATACTGTGACTATTGTCCCATTGTAAAAGATGAATTGTGAGGTTCACAGCCAAAACGGAGGCACTTCTACTTTACCAACCGGTGACATTTTTGTCTTTTATGCCCCCTTCAATTGTAACCTTTCCATTTTATGAATCTAAGGATGAAGGTCTTACTAATTAACTTCTTAGCATATGTCCTAATCTAACGGACTTACTCCAATGCAAAATTATTATGTTTTTGTTTAATGTAATCATTTTGCATATGTACTCAGAGAACTTAACTACCATCTAGCAGCTTAGTTTAACTTGGGCAAAAAATGGACAGATCAATCAAAGAAGATGCTACTGGATTGGCCTAAGCGCTTCCACATAATCAATGGAATTGCTCGGGGGCTTCTTTATCTTCATCAAGATTCCAGATTTAGAATTATCCACAGAGACCTGAAAGCTAGCAACATTTTACTAGATCATGAGATGAACCCCAAAATATCAGACTTTGGCTTGGCTAGAATTTTTGGAGGAAATGAGACCGTAGCAAATACTAAAAGAGTAGTTGGAACATTGTAAGAATCTACTAACCAGTCCAAAATTTTACTTTTAACTATATAAATTGGTTTATTTGTTCATTGTTTTCTTGCAGGGGGTACATGTCTCCAGAATATGCAATTGAGGGACGCTTCTCAGTAAAGTCTGATATATTTAGCTTTGGTGTTATGGTATTGGAAGTGGTGAGTGGGAAGCGAAACTGGGGATTTTGTGACCCAAACCACCACCTCAACCTTCTTGGGCATGTAAGCATATAGAGTTGAATCATTTTTCTTTTGAAGAAGGAAAATTATATAAAAAGAAAAAAAAAAAAGTGATTTCTTTTAAAATGGAAGATCTCAATTCAATTCCATCATTTTGTATAATTTATCTAGAATTACTGTTTGAAAATTAGAACAATTGCTTATAAATTGTTACCAATTGTTCAGGCCTGGAAATTATACAAGGCAGGCAAAACTACAAAATTGATTGATGCATCAATGCAAAACTCATGCAATCTACCTGAAGTGTTGCGTTCGATTCATGTCGGTTTGTTGTGTGTGCAACACCGGCCAGAGGATAGGCCTAACATGGCGAGTGTGGTTTTGATGTTGGGCAGAGAGGGTGCACTGACTCACCCCAGACAACCTGGTTTTTTCCCTGAAAGAAATATTCTTGAAGCAGAGTCAGAAAGAAGAGAGATTGAAAAATGTTCAGCCAACATGGTCACTATAACTCTGTTAGAGGCCAGATAGAAGACAATTCATGCTCATGTTTAATTGTTATATGGTCCAAGACCTTTGAGTTTGTTTAGATCATGTACATAATATAGATTTTTTAAATTATTAGCTTACAATTTTTAAATATATTGTAAATTTGTTTTGTGAAACTGTTAATAATTTGTGAACAAAGTTGAACATATTTTGTTAAATAAACTGTCACATAGTTTTTTTTTTATATATATTTATTAGGGGTGTGCGAGGTGCGGTTTGAGCAGTTTGAGAGTAAAATTACAAACCGAATGGTGGGTTAGCGGATTAGCGGATTGACAAATTGCAGTTTGGGTGGTTTTTGGCGGATTGAAGAATATTATAACTAATTATCATACATTTGCATAATATATAACACTAATTTGTATAATATTTTTTAGATATATAACACAAAGTAATTTTACATAATATGTTTCATATATATAACCACTAATTTGTAATAAATTTCATATCTTAAATCTCTCTCACACTCATTTTTACATTGATATTTTATTGGAAGTGAAAAAATATATACGTATTAACTATAGCGGAGTGGAGCGGTTCGGTTGGCGGATTATAAATTTTAAAGTTTAAACCGCGGCTAGCGGTTAGAACGGTGCGGATCGGTGCGATTTTAGCGGATTGGGCGATATTTTGCACAGCCCTAATATTTATTATGCAAATGTACAGAATGGCCTATTTGGTCAAATATGCTATCACATAGTTTTTTTGTTATGCAAATGTACATAATGCCTTTAAAAATTATATTTATGACAAAGGGGATGGGGTTATTTTTCCATACTTATTTAGGAGATTTAAGAGTATCTCCAACGGTAGTAGGCATTTTACCTATCTAAATATTACTATAAAGTATATATTTTATTTTGCCTATCAACTATTTTATGTTTTTACTCCAACCATGCTCTTTTTTTATTTTATTTTATTTTATTTTGGAGTCTCTGTAATCGGGGATGTCCTCCCCAGACTGCAATAAAATCAGTTTAGGTTCTGTACATCAATGGCGTGACTGGCACATCACTCTGAATTTGAAAATAATTTTGTTTGATTTGAATTTGAGAATGATTGAATTTGAACTCTGAATTGGATATTGATTCCATACTGACCTGAATCACAAAATAACTTAACGAAAGAAAAACGAAGCAAAACAATCCAAACACATCTATATACACTGACTGGTATGAATACCCAAATGTGTCATTGGTTTGGCCAATTTTGAAAAGTCTTGAATGAATCTTCGATAGCAACCGGCCAATCCTAAGAAACTACGAATCTCAAATGTGTTCTTAGGTTGCTTCCATTCTGACAATGCTTCTACTTTAGTTGGGTCTACTAATATTCCCTTGTCAGATACCACGTGACCCAAAAACTTTACTTCCACCATCCAGAATTCACATTTACTAGCCTTATTTTAAAGTTTGAAGTACTATTCTCAATGTTGTTCATGGTCTCCTTTAGACTCGGAATACACCATAATATTATCTATGAAAACTATCACAAATTGATCTAAGTAAGGCGTGAATATGTTGTTCATTAAGCTCATGAACACGCCTGGTGCAGGTTAGGTCGAATGGCATCACTACTAGTTCATAGCGGCCGTAACGCGTTCGAAATGCAGTCTTAAGAATATCTTCCTCCCGAACACGCAAAAAAAGGAAAGGAAACACTCAAAATGCATGGATGTGGGGATACGAGGTTTCGAACCCCTGCCCTCAGACTTAGCTTTCAGTTTTTTTTTTTTTTTTCCACCCAACACTAGCCACCACCCGCCCCCATTTTCCACCACCGTTTTCCGTCGCCACCACCCCCCATCACCACCTGCCACCACCATTCACCACCCACCACCCACCTGCTACCACCATCCACCGCCTACCACCACCAGCCACTCACCACCACCAGCTACCTGTCACCCACTCACCTGCCACCACCACCACCCGCCATCCACCACCACCACTACCACCCCCCACCACCACCACCTACCTACCACCACTACTCACCACCACTCACTCGCTACCACCTACCCCCCGCCACCGTCACCCACCTACCCACCCACCACCACCACCACCACCACCACCAGCTACCCACCACCCACCGTCACCACTTTCCACTACCGTTTTCTGCCGCCACTTGCCACCACTTGTCATTTCTCACTCTTTTTTTTATTTTTTAAATTTATTAAACATTTTGTCAATTACCAAACGCGTTTGTAGTTTATGTTTTTCTAAAAATAAACAAAAAATAAACAAAAACCAATTTATAAAATTTTTGTAAATATAAACTGAAAACGTAAACGTTACCAAACACACCCGTAGTACTTATTGTTCTAGTTGAATTAAATAGTCATCTGAATTAAATCTTTTGTTTGATTGGTTTTTAAATATATATATATATATATGTGTGTGTGTGTGTGTGTATTGAAAAATGAACATAGTTCACATACAACTGTACCGGTAAAGAGAGGCTCTCCTGCGGCAGGTGCGGGTGCGCTCAAGTGCTAGTGCCCGTATGCTTTGGTAGGTACGCGATGCTGCCGTCCGCCCCTAAAAAGGCCTGGCATCGTGGGATTAGGGGCGATCAAGCTTAAGCACCTTGTGTAGTTCCCCCTCGAGCGCAAAACGCAAGAGTCCCCTTTTGGTATCAGAGCCTTATAATACTGCCGATCCTCTCACTCTCCGAGCACCGGTAAAGAGAGGCTCTCCTGCGGCAGGTGCGGATGCGCTCAAGTGCTAGTGCCTGTATGCTTTGGTAGGTACTCTGATTGCTTACAAAGCAAGTTTTTATTTATAACCCCTTCATTCATGCTTTTTATATTGGAAGTCATTGATTATATGATCCAGTTTGTGAGCTGTTTATGTTTCTTTTAGATCTATTGAAAAAAGTAATTGTTGCTTGATTGTGGATTATCTATCAGAAGCCATTTAACACTCATGTACCTATGGGACAATGGAGTACTTCTTGTTTTGGAATGGATGGTTAAGATCCTTTTTTTGGAGTTTAAGTGCCATGGCAAATCTAAAATGTAGCATTGTTGATCTTTATTTTGTCATGCATGAGCACTTTTGATTGCTGCCTTTTTATGCAGGCATATAATTTGTCAAGAGACCACAAGCCTGACCTCAAGGCTGAGAAGGATAGGATTCTGAAGGCTGGTGGTTTGGTCCAATATGGACGGGTCAATGGAAGTCTAAACTTGGCAAGAGCAATTGGTATTTCATCTCTCTATTTTCTTTGTGTAAGCATGAACAAAGTAGAGATCTAAGAAGGATGGACATGGACATGGTCCATGGACATGTAAATTTTCAAAAAAATGTAGGATATGACATGTGGGACATGCACAATGTAGTTATTTATATCTCATATATAAGGATAAGAACTTATTCTATGTCACATATAATGCTATTTAATTCAAAGACTAACATATGTTACACTAATTTCTAATAAAGCTACATTGTTTTTCTTTTATCTTGGATTTCAAGTTACTTTATTCGAACTTGTATTGTATTTCATGTGTGCCTAAGCAATGTGCATGTATTCTCCAAGTGTCTACAGCTTGTTTGAGTCAAGAAAATTTTAAAAAAATAATGGGACATGCTTTGAGGTGTGTTTGACAAGGGTCAAGAATTGTCCCATGACTGTTGGTGTCGGACACAACACACTACCTTACTAGAAGTGTCCGTGTTTCTCAAGTCAAGATTGTATTCTTTTGTTTGCTTTTGCTCATCTTTTTTCATGGATTTGAGGAGACATGGAATTGAAGCAGAACAAATCACTGCCTGTTGAGAAGCAAATTGTGGCTGCCAATCCTGATGTAAACACAGTATGTAGCATCTACATTTATACCGTGTTTTAGCTGTTGCATCTACACTTATATATCATGTTTTAGCTATATGGGCTAGTCAAAGACTCAAACATTGAAAATAAAGCTGAGTCATAAATTTTAGGATGTTATATGAATTTTACTTTGATATATGGGCATTAGGGTTATAGCTGTTAAAAATATGATATTTTCTTATTTCTCACTCACGAGATATACACTTTTTTGTATGCAAATATCCCAGATAAGTTGTCTTCAGCTGTTTGATTTTTCATTTATGGTTTTTTCTTCATATCCTTGTCAACCCGTTGATAAATATTGTATTGTCTTATATCATATTTGAATCTGCTTGAACTAGGTGGAGCTTTGTGATGACGATGAATTTCTCGTGATAGCGTGTGATGGTATATGGTAAGTCTCTTATTTGTGTTGCCTCTTCCCTTCTTAATGTTATTTTTTTCGATAATTAGTTAGTTACAGATGTTCTTCATAAAGCTTCAGCCATAAGTTCTTTGGGGAGTTCATTGGATTTATACTCTTGTTTAGAAGTGAGTAGAGCTCATAAGTCATAAGCATTGTATTACAAGAAACTAGAAATCAACCTAATGAAGAAACATTGACCATATGTTACATTACTAGAGTTGTGGCTTTTGCTTGCCACTTGGGCCCTGCTTTCATCCTTCCAGCAGAGTATTTTAGACTCCTAGCGAAGAGCACTAATTTTTTTTTTCTTTTTTTGATTGGCACAGGGGTGTCAATATTTAATGAATTCAATATAAATTTTGGGCTTGAGTAGGCCACTTTAAACAGATATGAGTGGACAAGAAAGGAATTTATATATAGATTTTATACAAGGGATGGTTTTTATGGCACTTATGATAGCAATTGAATTTCTGACTTTTTTGGTCCCTTTGTCATTCTACTATGCCCAAAAAGAAGCTTTGCTTGAATTCATTTGGCCATATAATGAAGATGAACCTTTCATTCAATTTTCATTTTACTAATGGATTGCTGAGTTTATTAAGAAGATTGGTTCTATCATTCTATTGACAGCCCACTAGTCCTTTTATGCGGTCGAAAGTTTGCTACAAAAATAGATAAATGTAGCTGAGACTGATCAACCTGGGATCTAGCTTTGCTTGTTGCACTACATCTTGCAGCCATACCCATCCCTTTCTATCCTCATTTTTGCTTTGATTTCCATTAGCAACTTCAAAACTAAATCCCCAAATCCCATAATATGAAACTCGTGAAAGTCAATTAAACATTTTCATTCCCCATGTCTCAGCCCCTTCATCCAATTCAGAAAGGGCAGGCAACGTCTTTCCCCCCTTCAGGGTGCTATTCAAAGCTTTCATTGTGGAATTGCTTTCATGAGCTGTTACTTTCTTTCATACCATTTATTGTGTTTGTGGACAGTTGAATATATGCTTATGAACATGCGACGAGGCAGTTCCTTGTACTTGCAAGGTATGGCATTTTGATCCATTGCAAAAGCAGTCTTATCATTTGTTCTTTGTTTAGAGACACTAATTTCTATTATGCTTTAGATATGAAGGAGGATGAGACTGAGGCTGAGGCTGGGTTGGAGTGCCTACATCAATCTGCAAAGAAAGAGCTACAAGTTTACCTGAATGTAGATGGGCCATTGAAAGACTCCAATGAGAGTTCCACACAAAATTAGCAAGACTGGCCAGGTATTTTCAATATTTTTTTAAACTATTGTTTTCTTCTGCATAATATGAACCAGTTGACTCACTAAAATGTTCAAATGGTGTTGGATGTCAACGAAACTTGACACACACGACTAACTAGGCACAAATAACTTGTAGGAAAAGATAAGACTCGATGATTCCTGATTTTGAATCCGGAGCCAAATTTTCGTTTGTGAAAACTTGAACGGGTTGACACACTAAAATGCTCAAACGGCGTCAGATGTCAACGAAACTTGACACACTTGACTAATTACGCACAAATGACTTGTAGGAGAAGACGGGACTTGAAACTGTTTTCTGGTTTTGAATATAGAGCCTAATTTCCATTTATGAAAATTTATTCTTTAGAAACTATTTTTCGAATTGGTTGACACACTAAAATGCTCAAACGGCATGAGATGTCAACGAAACTTGACACTCTTGACTAATTAGGCACAAATGACTTGTAGGAGAAGGCATGACTTGAAACCGTTTTCCGATTTTGAATCTGGAGCCTAATTTTTGTTTATGAAAACTTATTCTTGGGTTTCCTTTTTTTTTGATTCGGTTGACTCACTAAAATGGTCAAAACGGCGTTGGATGTCAACGAAACTTGACACACGCAACGTACTAAGCACAAATGACTTGTAGGTGAAGACTGAACTTGAAACCGATTCTTGGTTTTGAATCTAGAGCCTAATTATATGTTACAATCTGATTTATGTATGTATTTATTATTGAAATAAATATCAAATGTTTTACAACTTTTGTAAGCTTGAAATTAATTATATTGTAAATGATGTTTTTTTTTTTGGTTTCTTTTTGAAGATGCAACCCCTTTTGAGTACATGATGATATCTTCGCATATCGATATTGGAACTTACTATATATATGTTTTTTATTTGTATTGTCGATACTTATGTTTTGTTTTAGATACAAAAATTTGAGTTCTTGAATATCAAAAATTATTAGTATTGTTGGAGGATATTTGATATATTTTTGTAAAGAATATTTTGTTGACAATTGTTATGAGGTACATATATATTATTCTTAGTATAATTTTGTGAATGTCGATGTGGATGTGGATGTATTTTATTTAAGAAAATATTAATAATTGGTACAAGGAATGAATTAATAAAATATATATTGATTTTATGAAAATAATTTTATTGCAACAATAATAAATCGTCGCTGATGTAATCATCATTTCCTTACATTTTATTAGTGACAGGTTAACCTATTGCATATACATATTAGTTCAAATCTTTAGCGCCGGTTCAAACTGTCGCAATATGATATTAATTTTTTTTTTGCGACGTTTTTGACCGTCGCTAATAATACTTTTCGTGACGTCAAATGCTGTCACCAAAAAAATTTTGGCGACGGCAACCAACATCGTCATTAAAAGTGAAGTTTTTTCAATTTTGTTTGTGTCAGGTGAAACCGTCGCAAAAACTATTGATTAGCCATCCCTACAAGAAAGCGACGGTTTGTAACCGTCGCAAATACTTTTTGTCACGCCCTCTTCTGCCACCCCCCATTTCCCGTCGTTACTCCGCTGCAAAAAGTCTTTTGCGACGATATGTGAATCTTTTGCAACGTTTAAGGCCGTCACAAAAGCTCCAGTTTTTAGTAGGCTTCTTTGTAGCATTGATTTGGATTTGGTGAAATCTTCTTTTACTTTGAAGGAGGAGGTGTATCATTGTCTTATTAATTATTGGAAATGGGGTCACAGCAGTGATTGTGGTGTCTCTATTTGAGGTGTATTATGGTCTTATTTTTATGATCCAACCCGTAATTTTGTAGAGTTTGTTGAGTACTTCATGCCTACCAAAAATCATATTAATCGGATATCAACAACTATATGATCGAATTGCATATTGTTTATGCTATTTCTCAAACGAAAAACTTATTATTTATTTTTTTGGTTATCGATCATATAGTTATTGATATTCAATTAATATGATTTTTGGTAGGCATGAAGTACTCAACAAACCCTACAAAATGAACGGTTTGAATTATAAAAATAAGGTCATAATACACCTCAAATGGAGGCACCACAGTGACCCCATTTCCTTAATTATTTATGTTTAAATTTCTTTCTTCCACTTATTTAAAAAAAATTATAGATTCATTAGTCAAAACTTCATCTTTGGCTTTGAAACTAGAAAAAACTAGCTTTCAATCAAAAGCTGCTATGCACGCCTGGTATTAGCTTATTCATTTACTTGAGGCATAGGTGAGATAGAATAGGACTACTTTTTAGCCTTAAAGCATGTCTTACTCGATTAGTATACACAATTATTCTGTGTAGGACTTGATCTTTGAGTCGAGTTAGATCAGGTACTGTGAGAGTGGCAGAGGTTTGGGCACCGTCTAAGATTTCTGAGGGCCTGCTTGTTTTTATTCTTTGATGTATTAGGGTGTGGGGTGGTTGTGTTTACCACTATTCAAATTTGCAGCATCTCTGGATGACCATGAATCTACATTGAACCTACAGTAGCGAAGATTACAAATACTAATTGCACAAAACCCACCGTCACAATTTTAAAAAATAAAATAAAAAATCAACATGCATTCAATTTTGAATCTGTACTAACTGATGACTTTTATTTTGTCCTCTTTAGCAGGTATAGCTATTCGGATTGGTAAGGTCCTTGACGTGGTGAAGCGGTTGGAAAACACCCAAAGCTTGTATGGACAAAAGGCAAGTCTAGATGCTTGAGGAACTAAAATTTGAAGCTAGAAAAAACTAGCTTTCAATCAAAAGCTGCTATGCACGCTTGCTATTAGATTATTCATTTAATTGAGGCATAGGTGAGATAGAATAGGACTTCTTTTTAGCCTCAAAGCATGTCTTACTCAGTTAGTATACACAATTATTTTGTGCAGGACTTGGTCTCTAAGCTGAGTCAGATCAGGTACTGTGAGAGTGGCAGAGGTTTGGGCACCATCTAAGATTTCTGAGGGCCTGCTTGTTTTATTCTTTGATATAGTAGGGTGTTGGGTGGTTGTGTTTACCACTATTCAAATTTGCAGCATCTCTGGATGACCATGAATCTACATTGAACCTACAGTAGTGAAGATTACAAATACTAATTGCACAAAACCCACCGTCACAATTTTAAAAAATAAAATAAAAAATCAACATGCATTCAATTTTGAATCTGTACTAACTGATGACTTTTATTTTGTCCTCTTTAGCAGGTATAGCTATTCGGATTGGTAAGGTCCTTGACGTGGTGAAGCGGTTGGAAAACACCCAAAGCTTGTATGGACAAAAGGCAAGTCTAGATGCTTGAGGAACTAAAATTTGTGTAAGTGACATTGAATGAATTGACAAAAAAAAATGTAGATACCCCTCACGAGGATGGAGGACAAGGTGAGGATGAGGAACGCGAAGAAGAGTTGGGAGGTGATGAAGATGATGATGATGAGGGAGATGAAGAAGAATCGGGAACATAAGATGTTGAAGACAGAGATGAATTTTCTAAGGAGCCTTGACCTTGGCCTTTTCATTGTTTATCTATGCTTAGACTAAACTGATAGTTGAATACGTTGTGGGTTTTGTAGTTGTCCCAATTTGTTTATGAACACTTTTTGCTTACTTTTGGGAGTTTAGTATGATATGTTTTGTGTATACAAAAATTCTTATGGTTGGTGTTTGGTAAATATGACCTCACCAAGTGTGGCTTGATAAGGTGTTGCTGATCTTCGTCAATGCTACCAATCAGATTATGCCACTCAACAGCTTGCTAGAGAAACTATTCATACCAAATAATTTAAAGAAAAATGCTTGAGACCTCGAAATTATATATATGTTTTTTTTCCTTAGGCAGTGTTGGTTTGAATTTTTTTTTTGGCAAGGGTGGGTTATGTGTAGGGATGTGTTAAAAAATTAGACATCCCGTACTAACTCAGCTTGTATGGTTTGATAAGGTGAGTGAGTTGGGTTGGACTGGTTGGGTGGTAATTTTGATTTGAAATAAATAGTATTGATTTGTGAAAACTTACGCCTTTTTGTTAAATCACTTGCTCTTTTTGTGAAATCACTTATTTTTTTTTATGAAAACTTACGCCTTTTTGTGAAATCACTTGCTCTTTTTGTAAAAACTTACATCTTTTTGTGAAATCACTTGTTCTTTTTGTGAAAACTTACGTCTTTTTGTGAAATCACTTACTATTTTTATGAGAACTTACACTTTTTTAAGAAATTATTTACGCTTTTTTTGTGAAATCACTTACGGCTTTTGTGATAACTTACGTTTTTTTGTAAAATTAGTTACGCTTTTTTGTGAAATCAATTACTCTTTTTGTGAAAACTTACGTTTTTTTGTGAAATTACTTACGCCTATTTCTGAAATTACGTACTCTCTTTGTGAAATCACTTACTCTTTTTGTGAAATTATTTACGCCTTTTGTGAAAAGTTTTACCTTTTTGTGAAATTGTTATGTCTTTTTGTGAAATCACTTACTCTCTTTGTGAAATTATTACGCATTTTTGTGAAATTACTTACTCTTTTTGTAAAAACTTACACCTTTTTGTGAAATTATTTATGCCTATTTGTGAAATCACTTACTCTCTTTGTGAAAACTTATGCCTTTTGTGAAAACTTACGTCTTTTTGTGAAATTACTTACTTTTTTTTTTTGAAAACTTACACTTTTTTTGTGAAATTACTTACGCATTTTGTAAAAACTTAAGCCTTTTCGTTAAATTAGTTATGCTCTTTTGTGAAATCACTTACTCTTTTTGTTAAACTAGTAACACAAATTTGTATATCAAAAAACATAAAAAGGTTTAGTGCCTTGCATATGGTATGTAAGGCACACCTAAGAAAGATCCAATATGTAGATAGATAGATAGATAGATAGATTAGCTGATTTGGAAACCAACCAAAAGCCAAAACAATACACATGTCTGTCACGTAAATCTTGTGAAATCTTCATAAAGATGAAAAAGAATGGACCGATGGTACTACTAGAGATTTTTATTTATATTATGCATAGGATTATTTTAAATGTACAAAAAGCATGACAAAAACTTCTTTTGAGTTGTGTTTTTACACACAGATAATTTTAAAAGTCTGAAGCAACGTAGATGTTTTCTACATTTTCAAATTCCAAAAATATCCTCAATAAATTCACAAATTATTAATATTTTACGACACCACTGGTTCAATCTCGTTTTTGTTCTGGCCTTTTATGAACAATTGCATATCTCTTTCCATCTATCAACTCTAAAAAAAATGGTAGAACTCTGTTTTTTACTTACTGTTTTCTACTTTTTTTTCTCTTTATTATTTGCTTTAAAAAAAATGGTAGAACTCTATTTTCTTTTCTTTTTTTCTTGTACATTTTCTTTTCTTTTATTTCCAATTACAATTACTTGGCCCACTTTGGTTTAGAAACACGTGCAATACTTTCATCAGGCAACAACTTATTTTGTTTTAAACATGCGCCTACTCGTACCTGTTGGCCAACATCCATTTTTAATTTCAAAGCAGGCAATCTTTCTAAGGGCAACAACGTATAAAAATGCGCACATTTAGATCTCAATGTATTTTCCACAAGGTGGTTGATTGTAATCAGGGGAAAGCAAGCTTCTGCGATGGCCAACGAGGGTGGATGGAAGCTGGTGTTCAGACGAAGACAAGGTATGAAGGGTCCGTTAGCAAGGCTTCACACAATCTTTGTGGACGAGATTCCGGAATCGATGACCCGTAAAGGACTGTACACTATGTTTTCAAATTTTGGTATCGTCAAAGATGTCTATATCCCTGAAAAAAGGAGAAAAGCAACGAGAACCAAATTCGTATTTGTAAGGTACGATTGTCCTGTTGCAGGCGGAGTCGCGATTTAGAAAGCTAATGGAGTATGGTGTGGCGATAGAATATTGAAGGTGAAAAGGGAAGATTTTGAAAGAGATAAGGAACCAACATATCCAAGAGCAATAGTCCAGAAACCAGTTGGGATACTGACCCTAGCAAGGGTAGA